TCTGTCGTGATGTTCAGCCTCATCTCTAAACCCAAGAAATGGAGCAGCCTTCTATGGACTAAGACCCCTGAAACAGTGAGCCCTCAAATAAACCTTTTCTCCTCGACAATTGTGCTGGTGGTGTCCTTTAGTCACAGCAGCAAAGAAGCTTACTAAAACAACCATTGATTCCCCACCCCTGACTGGACTTCTTTGAAGATTCAGTTACAGGCTGCTGATTAGAGACCCAATCTCAATATAAATATACAAGAAAAACAAACAAATAAACAAACAATCTCCCCCCCCCATACCCCACCCCGAGGATAAGTTGATTGCATGGAAAAATTCTACAAAACATCTAAGAAAGAAATCAGACCAATTCTCCACAAACTCTTCTGGACAATAGAAGAGGAGGCGGTGCTTCCCAGTTCAACTCGCTGAGCAGCATCACCCTGACTCCAAACCCCAGACATTACAGGAAAATGGCCAGTCAGTATCCTTAGTGAATGAAGAATTTTCAAAAAAATATCAGTCAAATATGAAAAAAGGATGATTGCAATGGCTAAGTCGGGTTTATCATGGAGCAGAAATGCTGCTTCAACATTTAAGGACCAGTCAATGTAACTCGCATATGAATAAAGGAACTAAAACCCTGTCATCAGGGCTGGGATTGTGGCTCAGTGGTACAGCGCTCGCTCAGCACATGTGAGGCACTGAGTTCAAGTCTCAGCACCACATAAAATAAATAAATAAACTAAAGGTACTGTGTCCATCTATAACTAAAAACATTTTTAAAAAAACATATCATCATCTTAACTATACAAAAAGCATTTGACAAAATTCGATTTTCATTCATGATAAAAACTTTCAGAAATGAAAAACAGAAGGGAACTTCCTTAACCTGACAGATGATATCTATGAAAACCTGCAGCGAACATCATACATAATACCAAAGAACTGAATGCCTCCCCAAGATAAGGAATACTTCTAGGATGTCTGCTTGCACCATTTCTATTTGAAATCATCTTGGAGGTCTTAGCCAGTGCAATAGGTGAGGAAAAGAAATAAAAGAAACATGTTTCAGAAAGGAAGAAATAAAATGTCTCTATTTGCAGAAGACAGGATTATCCACATAGAAAACTTTAGGAACTCAGCTGGGCACTGTAGCACATGCCTGAATCCCAGTGACTCAGGAGGCTGAGGACCAAACCCGAGGTGATACCCTCATCAACTTAGCAAGACCCTGTTTAAAAATAAAAAATAAAAAGGGCTGTAGCTGTAGCTTGGGGGTAGAGTGCCTCTGGGTTCAATCCCCAGTTTTTTTTTTAAAGCCATTATACCTAATAAATGAGTTTATCAAGGTTTTAGGACAAAAGTTTAATATTCAAAAATCAATTAATTTCTATATACCAGTAATGAAAGATTGAAAATCAAAATAATTTAGACTATCCCTTATAAGAACACCAAAACCCATGAAATATTTAGTTATAAATCTAAAATATGTACAGGATCTATATATAAAACATTGGTTTTATATATAGCCATGTGACATTTATATATAGCCATGTTTTATATATGGCCATGTGACATTCTTTGGGCAAGAAATCAAGACCAAAATAAATACAGAGATACATACTATTAATGGATCAAAAGATTCACTATTGTTAAGATGCCAGTTTTCCAAAAATTAATCTATAGACTCAACATGATCTCAGGCAAACTCCTAAAAGACTTTTTTATAGAAAGAGCAACAAGTTAATTCTAAAATTTATACATTCAGGCCAGGGCACTTCAATAGTTTAGAAATTGTGGGCAGGGGTTGTGAACAAAGGTGAAAGATTTATACTACCTGATCTTAAGATTTGCTATAAAGCTACAGTAATCAAGATGGTAATGATTTGTTAATAGAACAGTAGAGTTCAGATACAGACTTCTGCATGTGTGGTTAATTGGTCTTTTGGTGGGGTTTTGGTTTGATTTTATAAAGATGTGAAGGCAATTTGATGGAGAAAAGATAGCCCCTTTTACTTGAGGATTCAAACAACTGGCTATCTTTATGAAAACCAAATGAATACTGACCGATACCTCAACATTATGAAAAGGACTCAAAATGGACCTTAGACATAAATGTAAAACCTAAAATTATAAAACTTCTGGTAGAGAACATAAGAGGAAATCTTGGTGACCTTGGGCTGAGCCATTCTTTTTATTAGGTAAAACACTGGAAATAAACACATAGAAGCATATTGATAAATTGGGCTTTTCTTCCGAACACTATTAGTATTAGCCAATTACATGTGAGCAAAAGTGGCATATGTCATTTTTAGGCAAAAGCTTTAAGAGTCATCCTGGGGGCTGGGGATGTGGCTCAAGCGGTAGCGCGCTCGCCTGGCATGCGTGCGGCCTGGGTTCGATCCTCAGCACCACATACCAACAAAGATGTTGTGTCTGCCGAGAACTAAAAAATAAATATTAAAAATTCTCTCTCTCTCTCTCCTCTCTCACTCTAAAAAAAAAAAAAAAAAAAAAGAGTCATCCTGGGCTTCATTCCTCTCTCTGCATTCTGTTGACCATGTGACATTCTTTGACCAATAAACTGTGTACAAAGGTTCACTGCAGGCAGAGGCTATAAAGGTGCTTTCGGCCTTGCCATTCTCTCCTCCCTCTTGCCATGCCAAAGCATCATGTTCTAGGCAAAGACTGCTCTACCAGACTTGGTTGAAGGGTGAAGATGACATGTGGCAATGGCACATGCTACTAGCTATGCCCACAGAGCGTGAGTGAAAAATAACTTGCATGGTGAGCCACTGTGATTTTAAGATTGGTAACTATAGCCTAACCTAGACTCTCATTTTCCATGCAATTTGGTATAGTGTGGTTTTTAGTTGGTAATATTTAAGGATGAAGCATTTCAAAGTCACCAGTAACATATCTCCAAAGCTCAGAGTGGGTCAGTCTCATATGCAAAGTTAGTCACAACTAAGGTGTGTGAAGGTTTTGTTTTGTTCTGTTCTGTGACTCTTTCCCTAATCATCTTCATGCATTCACTTCACAAATATTGAGAGTGGACCAAATGCCAGGCCTTGTACTAGGTGTTGGGGACAGCAATAGCCAGGCAAACATGGTCCTTGTCTCAGAAAAAGTTTTATACTAGTGGAAAGATAATCAATAATCAAATAATTATACAATGACATTGACAATTAACTGTGATAAATGCTACAGTGATGAAGTCCAGGATGTTAGAACAGACAGCAGTGGTCTGGCCAGGGCTGGGTCATCTTCCTCTTTTGGGCCCCAGAGATAAGTGACCTGTCCAAATTTACTCAACCAGGAAAAAGAGGGGAAAACAGAACCCTATATTTCTACTTAGGCATTCTGTGATCTTTGAACCAAAGCTTGGAGTGTATTTTATATTTAAGGCAAGAACCCTGTTTACCCTTTCTTTACTGTTTACCCTATATTCCAATTGGAAGAGCCAGTTGGAATATGAATGAATTGCTATTCTCAACTCAGAGACATAAAAGCAATTCAAAGCAGAAATATCACTGATATTGGGGCAGTAGAACCACCTTTGATTTTATATAAATCTAGCAAAGTTAAAGCACTCAACATATGCAGGCTGGGCAACCAATTGATGTGTTGGCACATTCCTGCCCCATAATGGCCCCTCAGCAAGGAAAAACAGCAACAGCACTGCCAGTTACGCACTTTCCAACATCAGGGGCAGTTCTGTCTAAAAGTGATCATCTTCAATCTTATAATTTGGTCACATTCTTTTACTTTGCCACAAGCTAAGGAATTAATTCAATTTGGCATTATTCAATTCAAAAGAATTTCCTATGCATCTACTAGGTGCCAAACTCTAAGGATACAGGTAAAAATGAGTGTCTCCTCTACAGTCTAAGTAGCAAAGTCAGCGACAAATAAGAAACAAACTGTGTGCTCAACTATTGGCCAGTTATCCCTCATACTTCTATCAAAGAGCTCCCAGCATGCTAACACTGTGGTGGGGAAAGGGAGTCATCAAATGAAGTCTACTGGACCTTCTTTATTTCCTTTTCTTGGTGTTCACCTTTGGTTCTCCAGGAAATTCAACTCCTTGACATGATTGGGTGCAGGAAATATTAGATCCGAGAGCAATCAAATGTGGGCAGCCCAGGTTGGATCTACCACTAATAAGATGTGTCTAGAAGCCATTAAACCTTGTTACTTTTCCGGAGACTGCTCATTTGAAATGCTTCATATATGTAGGAAGATCTGTCCCAAAGGCTTAAGAGTATTCCTGCACTAAGATTGCGTTCCTTGCCTCGACAAATCTGAAACTATCACAACCATCACAAAATTTAAAAAATTCTATGAGCATTCCAAAAGTCCTTTTGTACTATGTGCCAAACTCTAAGAATACCGGTAAAAACTACGTTTTGAGATCAGCTGCAATGGAAGCAATGAGGGTCCTTGGTATTTCCTGTTCTCCCACAGTCCCAAAGTTTGTGAAAGACAGGTGATGTTCCGCATGCGCAAACTGATTGGGAAAACTGGGGCCCGGGACTCCCTGTAAACGTGGAATTCTGACATTTTGCGGTGCAGTCCCTGGCCCTCCATGCCTAGCTCTGGGCCTCACAATACCATATCCCGGCCAATGGCCATTTCAGGGAGGGGCTCCCAAGGTCAGGCTGTTAGTGGAGCCTGGCTGCTTGAAATGCTGCCTTGGGAAAGCCACTTCTCTCCTCGCTGAGGTTCCACACAGGCCAACAGCCAGATACCTGGGGCCATGTCCGCGCCTCGAGGGCGGGTCACCACATATTCGACGGCCCTAAACAGAACCCCGCACCAGGAAGGTACAGCCGCCTCCAGGTCCTTCCGACCGACACCAGGGCCCGCCCCTTGCACCGCGGCCCCGCCCCCGCTTCCGGTCGGGAGGTCAACGTGCTCTGACCACGCCCCGCAGACGCGGCTCCAGTCGCGGCGAGCGTCCCAGCCTCCCTTCCGCCGGAAGTGGGGCGACTTTCCCTTTCCGGCTACGGGTCCCGGAGCGGAGCGGGAGGCCGGACCCGGGAGCCGAGCGGCGGCGGCGGTAATGGCGGAGCTGGTGCAGGGACAGAGCGCTCCGGTGGGCATGAAGGCCGAGGGCTTCGTGGACGCCCTGCACCGGGTCCGGCAGGTACGGGCGCAGCCGGCCGGCGGGAGCACGGGAGACCGAGGCGGGGCCGGGGCAGGCGAAGAGGGTCGGGCCTGGGGGCTGGAGACAGCCTGAGTCGACGCCTCAGCCGGGCCCGGCCGTTCGGCCGGGCGCCTACAGCCGGGAGTAGCCGGGGCACGAGGCGCCACCGCGAGGCCCAGGCTCAGCCTGTCGGGCGGGTCTCCCAGGTGTCTGAAGCCGCTGGAAAAGCGTTTGCCCAGAGCGCCCATTTCGACCCAGCGCCCGGGTTGTACCCCCGGGGCAGCCAGTGATGGGTTCTGAGGTTCGGGAGCGGGTGGACCGGAGGCTTCTAGTGAGGATCTGGCTGTAAGTATAAGGGTATCTTCTCAACACCCAGTAAAGAGCTTGTTAAAACTTGGAATCCTTCGTCTTTGGCTTTCTATGTTTCGAAGGTGGAGTGGAGGGAACTCGAGGATATTTTATTTTTAAAGGTGTTCTCAGGAGAGAGGAGGTGTTAAGTGGGTGGTCCCCAAGAGGCAGAAGTGGCAGTAGTTTTCCTCTCCTGAAGAGAATGACAGGGACCCATTTTGGAAGAGAAACTTTACCTTCTGACAGTGTGCATTTGTCCGAGATAAAATAGGTTATTAAGAGGTTGCAAGCTTCCCTGGAGAAGAATATGGAACCTGCCAAAAATATTGTTTGGCTTTTGGCGGTGCTTAGAATGAATGTGTCATTCTTTTGTGTCTAAAACGTACTAAGTTGGTCCTAACAAACTTTCCTTGCTGAATGTCTCATGTTCGTCATCTCTTCCTATATAAATTGTAAGAACACTGATGCTTTAAAAGTTGGGCTGAAATTAATGACTGCTTGATTCCTAACAGAAAGCCACAGGACTCACTTGTGTTAGAAGAAGGCCTCCACTCCAGAGCTTGAAGATGTGGTCTTTCCGTCTCTTTCCAGTATTCCAGGGGAGGCATCCTTTCTGTCTCCCACATACTGACTTTTCATGTTAATATTGATGCTCCTGTAGACATTATATTGGATCCCAGAACTTTCCAACCCTGTGGTTTCACCTAAAATTTTGTCTGACGAATTGTTACTTACTGCCCAGGTACCAACTATTACTGTAGTATCTCCATCTTAGACTTCAGTCACCTTCTGTCTACAGTGGATGAACATACCATCCAGCCCCCCTACAACACTGCTTGCTACTTTCCTCTGCAGTACAGGGTCCTCGACCTTGTTTCTCACTGGCTACTAATATGTAATGCCTATCACTCTGTGCTGATATGTGACAATCACCTTGTTGGCCTTCTGTGTCCTGGAAGAATTGTAGCCACTACCTTAAAGAGCTCAGATCCTCAGTTTGCAGAAGGCCTGTAATTGAACATAAAATGATTTTGAAACATTGCGAAGACTTTCTACTTCTCTTGAGGCAGTGGTTGAACTCATACTCTTGGACAACCTGCTCAAGAGGGAGACTCTCAGGTGTTAAATGCTGACTTAATGTGGATTGTTGAAGCAGTGCTGTTTACTACTAGCAGTGACACTTCATTGGAATTGTTCTCAGCTTTGAGATGCACCATTGACTGGAGCCATAATAGCCCAATGGAGCCAGGGCTGTTAAGTGTGTTCCTTCTGAATGTTATCAGCTGGAGGTCCATACTATCTTCAAGGATTTGATGGCCTTTAAAAACTAAAGAAAAAAAAAACAGGTTTGTGGGTAATTTTAGGTTTATTTTACAGTTTGTATTGGGCAAGAATGGAATGTTAGAAATCTAATATTGTGTGATAACAGTAAAGCTTTCCTCAAAGGACCTCATACTATTTGGGCATCTGGGTGGTCATGGTTTTCCTTCTCCATAGTATATATAAGCATGTTGCAGAAACTTGATCCCCTTGCCCCCCAGCAAGTGGAAATAGAGACAGTATATTTCTTTATGTGAGTGACTATAGACCTCCCGCCTCTTATATGTCCTTGTAAATACCAGCAACTGCAGGACCTTCATACTTTTGTTAAGAAAGTTGTAAGCTGTCTTGTGCTCGGTTTTTCTAGCCAATTGTAGTAGAGTCTGAGTGTACCCTGCTGGGATTTGAATCTTTGCTTTCTTTTCAATCTGGTATATGGAGTCTAGCACCTAATCCACTGAGCTTCTCTTCTGGCATCTTGAAGCCTTGTATATCCTTTGGACTCTTTCCAACAAAGTGAACCAATGGTTGCTGTTAGTTTACTCAAGCATGGTATTCTGAGATCAAAAGGGAGTCTCGGAAGATGTTCCATGAAATTTTTTTCTCAGCGGGAGGTCCAGTGAGTTACTAATGTTTGGCACAAATGGGTAATTAATTTATATCTGTTCTGAAGGGTAGTAAACATGTGATCTGATTCAGTCCTATTGATGAAGATCTAAAAGTGTCGGGTATTAAAAAAAACATAGCTAGTATCTAAACTAGCTCATAATTCATTGGATGGTTAGCAGAATTAAAGTGTGTCTTTAGGGGCTGGGGATGTGGCTCAAGCGGTAGCGCGCTGGCCTGGCATGCGTGCGGCCCGGGTTCAATCCTCAGCACCACATACAAACAAAGATGTTGTGTCTGCCGAGAATTGAAAAATAAATATTAAAAAAAAATTCTCTCTCTCTCCCCCCCTCTCTTTCTAAAAAAAATAAAATAAAAATAAAGTGTGTCTTTAACTAGTTTGGAGAGGCCAGGATCTTAATAAAGGTTGGATGTGAGTTCAAAGCCAGAGTGAGTCATCTTCCACAGCCAAACTCTGCACCTCTGTCCTGACTGGCTGAGTTACAAGGGGACCTCACTAAGATTTGGGATCAGTAATTGCAAATCTGTTTTATCCTGTTCAGTTTTTCTGAAGATATTTTAAAAATATCTGCAGAAGATCCACTGGTAGTTTAGAAGCACCCATCATAAAGTAGGAGCAATCACATAGTCTGTGTGCTATACTGTTAGGAGTTCCAAGTAGCCTTCCAGCTGCTGGACCAGTTATCTGCCAGGTGTCACTTAAAGAGCTGCTTTTGCCAGTGCTCTTTAGTAGTCAGGCTCCTCTTTTGAGTTTGACCAAGTCAATGCTTCTGCATTGCATAACTTGAGGATTCTACTCATATACAATGTAGCATAAATGTTACATAAATGGAGTCAGGCATCCTGATGGCCCTGCACCCAAGTAAGTATGACCAAGCATTATAAAATCAGTAGAAAGTAACCTTTCAGAGGATTTTTAGTTCTGGAACGTAATCTTTACTGGCTTATTTTTAGGGAAATGTTGATTGGCGTGCAGCATCAAGTTCCATAATTCTCTGGACGATGCCTCCTTATACATCCATTTTCCACTTTGAAACTGAGCAGTAAATAATTTGAGGTGTGTGTTGTATATCTACACCCGGGCTGATTTGGGACTTCATGCTTTAAGATGCTGGCTTTTGTGTGTTGGGGGGGTGGGGGTGGGGGGATACTGGTGATTGAATTCAGGGGTAGACTACACTGAGCTACATCCCTAGCCCTTTTTATTTTTAATTTTGAGACATGGTCTCACTGAGTTGCTGAGATTGACTTCAAACTTGGGATCCTCCTGAGCCTTCCAAGTCACTGGGAAAACTCTAAGAGAGCACTGTACATCAGCCATTAAAGGAAAAAGCTAAATTTATTGACTATTAGATAACCTTAAGAGATTATGCCTTTGCTCAGTTAATATATGTTTTTGACTTGGAAAAGTCTAGTGTGTTGAATGCTCACAAGATTCAAGTTGCACTCCATGGAGTCTGTCATACATGTTCAGTGGTTGAATTTTGTAGGAGGCTGATGCCTCTATGCTCATTTTATGTTTCTCAAACATTCAAAGGAAATCAGTTTCTGTAGGAAATCTATGGGCTGCTCCTGTAGATTTGCTCTGATGGCACACAGTATATTTGTCGGCAAAGAATGAGTCCTTGTTAAAGGATTTTGGTGATGTCACTGACCCTATTAGGTCACCACATGTTAATGGAAGTATTGCTATTTGGTATTGAAAAGTGGATAGCAAGTGAATTGCTTTCCATTGTAAGCCTCTTAAGGCTTCATTCGTCTTCAACTGAGATTTCTTCATCTTTAATTTAAAATCTGGTATTGTGCATATTGTCAAACTTTGCTTTCTTCTGAAGTCCCAATAATCCTGTAGATACCTAGACCGCAGTTTTCAGAATAGTCCCATGGGCTACAGTAGACTTATAAGCATGCTTACTTTGACCCAAACAGTACCAACACTTAGAAATTAGAGTGATTTTGTATTAAAATTGAGATTTCTCATTTATTTAGAAAACATCTGACTACTTTGCTCTCCTGTCCTGCATGGCATCCATCAGCAAGAGCTGAGTAGCTGCTGCCCCTTCACATGAGTGTCCACTCTGGGTTACCTTTATTCTTGGCACCATGCTGCTGTTTTAAACTACCCATTGGGATTCTGGATTGACAGCTTTTTTCCTGATCCTTTTCTAAATTGTAAGCCCCAAATCCCTGGGATGAGAGTGGGGGACACCAGTGGGTGCTGGGAATTGAACCCAGCCAGGCCTTGCTTATGCTAGGCAGGCACTCTACCATGGAGCCACATCCTCAGCCCTTTTTTATTTTATTTTGAGACAGGGTTGCTGGCCTTGAAGTTGCAGTCCTTCTCCTTCACCTGAGTTGCTGGGATTACAAATATGCCCCACGACACCCAACTCATCTTAGATTTAAAAAAACAACAACAACAACAAAAAAAAACTTCTTTTTTCTTAGAAATTTTTTTAAAATTTCTAATGGAAAGAACTCTATATGGAGAGTTAGGAGGTCTGAGTCTCCTTCAAGTATATCCAGGACCATGGACGAGGTTGGCCATATAGCCTTTTGAACATCAGGCTTTTGATATATCTTCCATGGAAAAGAGCACTTAGGCAAATAATTTTAGAGCATGCAGGGTCAAATAAAGGTTAGTTGGCTTTACTGCAGGACTTCTTTGTGCATTTAATAACTTGTGTGCATTATCTCCTACAAGGGTGTAAGGTGTATGCTATAAAAAAAAAAAAAAGTCCTGAGGCTGGGGTTGTGGCTCAGCAGTAGAGTGCTTGCTTAGCACATGTGAAGTACTGGGATCAATCCTCAGCACCACATTAAAAAAACAAAATAAAATTTAAAAAAATTCCTGAAGTTATGTCCCTTCATGTCCTCTTTTCATGGAACCAATCACATTTGTGGATCAAACTTTAGGAAATGTTGAGCTAGACAATCTTGGCAGTCCCTTTAAACCCATGATCATTCAAAGCTTCTGCCTACCTGGAGCTGAAGTTTTGACTATATTGTGGTTCTCTTTTTTATATGTTATATTGAATGTCTGCAAACTCCTTTCTACCCTACTTTTGTGTGCAGTCCTTTTATTCTGTTGATTTACCTTAGATCATCCCATCTGAAAATGTTTTGCAGTTGGAGTTTTATTATAAACATTGGGAAAGAATAGTCAGTACTACTTTTGGAGTATGAACTGTACTTTTATTCTAATGCCAGATGGTAACAAATCATTTGCAAGACTGAGTAACATTAGGGCAAGTTGTGTGGTTCAGATCACTCACCATTATGTGAGGAGCTGCTGAGTTCATGGCTTCTTGCTGGGTGCTGGGCCAATGTGAAGATAAATCAGACAGATTTTTAGCTGGTTTCACCGTATTGTGGAGTTTGATCCATTCTCACAACACCAGGTGAAATAATCTAGGCAAGGACTATAATTCTCATTGCATATTTGAGACTAATGAACCAAAATGATGCAACATTGCTGTATGGGGAGTAGTTCTTGAACCCATTTCTTCTGTATTTTAAGAAGGCATGGTTTCTTTTTTTTTTTTTTTTAAATAAAGAGAATAGAGATCACTCTGGTTTATTTATTTATTTTTTTAAAGAGAGAGTGAGAGAGGGGAGAGAGAGAGAGAGAGAATTTTTAATATTTATTTTTTAGTTCTCGGCGGACACAACATCTTTGTTTGTATGTGGTGCTGAGGATCGAACCCGGGCCGCACGCATGCCAGGCGAGCGCGCTACCACTTGAACCACATCCCCAGCCCCAGGCATGGTTTCTTTGCTGAATTAATTGAGTAGTAGTGACAACAGCAGAATTTTGTACGCTGGGGTGAGAGAGTACTGGACATTGAACCCAGGACCTTGTGCATGCTAAGCAAATGCTCTACTGAGCTACATCCTCCCCCACCGCCCATCTTCTTTTTTAGATTTTTAGATGGATCTCTCTAAGTTGCATATGCTGGCCTTGAATTTGCAATTTTGCCCCAGCCTTTTAAGTAGCAGGGATTACAGGTGTGTGTGACCATGCCTGGCTATAGTAATATCTGTGAACAAAACCTTGAAAGGATGATGGTGGAACTCTATCAGGAGGGAAAATACTAATGGGGCATGTCCTTTTAGACCACGTGGATCAGTGTTTCGACTGAGAGCCTCAGCTGGTCATGTTAGCATGTTACCTGCAGATGGACTTCTCCATACCTACTTTAAATTCAGCAGAGTTTAATGAGCATGTGTTCTGTGCCAAGCATTTTGCTAAGCATTGGGAAAGTGTTCTTTAATTTTTTCAGAACTTGGATTTTTTTGAGATTTCTGAAAATTTTGATCCTCCCCCCAGAAATACTTAAATTTCATGAAATTCATGATTTCTCTAAAGCTAAAACCTGGAAGTCCCAGTTAAGAACTT